TCATGCGTGAGTGACCCGGGGGTTTATCTCGACTGTGCTCATATAGTGCTCGACGAGGTTTGTTTTAAGCATTTCGTTCGTTTGGATTGAAAAATCCTATTGCAAATGAAATGTAGCAGTTATTTCGTTCGATTCTTTCACAGGATTATAATCCAAAATTATGTGATTTCGGACTCGTGAGCGGTGGTATTTTCCCCGATAGGACAATATATACGTGCCATCATGTCATTGGGAGCTATGGCTACATCGACATTACGTCATTCGATGAAGGTATTTCAACTAATATATTTGTTGCAAGAAATACTCGCTGCTACGTCGCAAAAGCTAGTAAAGCTAAATTGTGCATCCTTATTTACAAGTTCATTCGCAAAGGTAAATTGCATTTCTTCGTTCCGTGAGATAAGGCCCATTATTAAGAAAGTCGTCATACTTAAGTCCGTTTTTTTTTTTGTGTGTGTGTAATTATAGAATGCCGTTAATGGACTAGCGAAAACAACTAATCCCATTAATTTTTTTTTCTTAATTCTAAGTACTCGAACTTCTAGATGGTTACATTCGTGTTTCTTGCAGGTTGTTCTTCGGCTAAGCAAGACGTGTATGCATTTGGGGTTATACTTCTCAGTATGATTTCAAAACGAGTTTACACCGAAGAAGATAGGCTAAGTTATGCTCCAAACGTTTTCAGATGGGCTTGGGGTAGATGTTTCGAATACGATCGTGAGAAAGATAGTGACTCGAAGAAACATGATTCCGATACTGGTGACTCGAAGAAGCCGAAGTTTTCGGTCGTCCATCCAAGTCTTGTAGCAGAAGATCCCGATTTTGATCCTTCCGACGGGTATAAAATTACTTCACTAGGATTGGATTGCACAGGCCGAAACTTGTCTGAGCGGCCCACGATGAAGCAAGTTTTTCGATCTTTACTTAAAGTCGTTAAGAACCACACCGACTTCATCGGAGCCAACAACGACGCGCTGCTGCTGCGGCCCTGTGAAAAATAGGTGTGATTTTGTTGTTTATGGGATTGAAGAAATGATGTTAGTGTTTTTGTTGTGTGTGAAATGATTTTAAATGATTGCGTTTAATGTGAATTTCAAGTAGGGGGTGTTAACGACCCCAACTCGAGCCTTCATTTTCTAATCTCTAGATTGATGTTGCAGCCTCAATTTTTTTTTTTCTCAATATTTTTTATGTTAATATTATTATTTATATCATTATAAATTATTTATACGGTTATAAAGAATATAAATAAGGCGGCGACTATATGCAATCCCAAAATTACTTAGGGGAATACCAAATCTAATTTTCCACCAAATGAATTATTAAAAGACTATTATATCCTTATTAAAATACAAAATCCACAGTTACAAAATTTCACAACTTCCTTTGTGCAATACCACACAAGCAAAACCCATTTCATCTTCCTCACAAACTCATTTCACACAAATCTTCAAAAAATAATTCTTCGTCTTCTCAAAAAATCCTCAACACCCAAAACCATCTTTAGAAAAAATTCCTCAACACCCAAAACATTCAAATGATAACATTATGGAGTCACGAGACATCAATATGGAGAATTATATAGAAAAAATAGAAAACAAACTATGAATGAATGCATTTTTATAGTTAGGTGATCGATTTTTAAGTTTTCAAAAAGAAAATTCGCACAGTCAAAATTTGACATGTCGAATTTTGTCACAAAATTCGACATTTAGATGTTAATATTTTAGCAAAAAATCGACATCAACTCTAAATGTCGATTTTTGTGACAAAATTCGACATCTACATGTCGATTTTTCATCAAAAAATCAACATGTACAGGTCGAATCTTCTTCTTCTTCTTCTTCTTCTTCTTCTTCTTCTTCTTCTTCTTCTTCTTCTTCTTCTTCTTCTTCTTCTTCTTCTTCTTCTTCTTCTTCTTCTTCTTCTTCTTCTTCTTCTTCTTCTTCTTCTTCTTCTTCTTCTTCTCCTCCTCCTTCTCCTCCTTCCTCCATATTCTTCTTCTCTTCCTTTTCAAGCACCCGCGGTTGGGCGG